AAATTCAATTAATAATGCCAAAAGTAATTTGATGATACATGTAAAAAAAAAGGTTTTGTTTAGACAAAAATGTTGGAGGCTTTTAGAGTTTTGGAATAGTAAAATGGATAAACGTTTTTTTTTTTTTTGTGTCATATCTAACTCTTTTTATCATTTTAGAACTTTGAGTGGATCATATTTGAAAATAGTTTCGTAAGTAAAAAAATTTTGCTAAAATGATCCTCCGGTGCCAGATTCGCCACGCTAGCCGACCGTTGCTGACGTGGCGTTGCGCGGCTGACATGTATCGCCATGTAGATGCCACGTCGGAGGACCATTTTAGCGAAAAAATTTTTACTTGTAGGACTATTTTCAGACAAAGTCTATTTAAAGTCCTAAAAATAATAAAGAAAGTTATATACGAAACTAAAAAAATAATTTACCAAAAAAATTTATAAAATAAAAAATTTCATGTGTCGCTGACTTGATGTCTACATGGCGATGAAATGTCAGTCGCGTCAGCAACGAAGGACCAGCGAGCCCGGCATTGGAGGACCATTTTAGCGAAAATTTTTTACCTACAGGACTATTTTCAAACAGAGTCTGTTAAAGTTCTAAAATAATAAAGGATGTCAGATACAAAATATATAAACAGTTTACCCTAATAAAAAGTAGTGATTAATGTGATATTTTTTTAAAAAATACATATATACTTGATATAATATTTAAAAAATAATACTAATAAATTGAAAATTATTAATATTGTTTTGGACTACAGTTTGTTTCATTGCATTTTCCTCCCATTATTTTTTGAATTGAAGTTGGATTGAAAGTAATATATTTAATTAATATTTGATTTATTATTATATATAAAATAAATTATATATTAATTATATTTATATTATTTTATGGAGAATAAAAATTTATATACTGTAAATAAATATAAAATATTATAAAAATTTATTTATAATTAATATAAATTAATTTTATACATATATGAAAATCTTTGAATATACATAAATATATTTATATATTAAAAAATATAAAATATAAATTATGAATGAATTTTAAATAGATTTCTTATAATTTACTGTAATATTAAAAAAAAATAAAAATTGAAAGTATTGAAACGTTAACAGACCCTAATCTTTCTTGTAAGAATATGTAGTGTTTGACCTAATTCCAAATTTTTTACTTCATATGAGCCCAACAATCCTAAATTGCGTTATGCATATTTTTACTTTATATTGTCGTTTATGTCTATCTTATGTCATTAAAAAAATTTGAACTTTAATTTAATTTTAAATTTATTAATTTTAATTAAATTAATTACTTATTTTAATTTTAATTTATAGTTAATTATATTATAAAATAATTATTTTCGTTAATATATTTTTAATTATCTATTAATTATATTTATTTTAAAGTCTTGTGTCTACAGTAATCTGAATATACTAACGTGGGACGGAAATAGTATATATTAAAATAAAATTAATATTGTACAAATTTAAAAAATAAAATTAAAGAATGGTCATTGGTTCCAATTAGGGAGTAGTTAGAATAAGTTCGGATATGCTTATGAAGGCCGGGAAGGATAACATTAAATAATTTTTATTAATTAATTGCCTAATGTGCGTTATAATATTTCCACGAATATTCTCCCTGATGGTGCCTTCTTTTACTGTTGTTTTAATTAATTAAATGTTTCTTCTTCCCTTAATTTTGAATTTGATGTTGAATTTAAATATTCATAATTATTTTAAATTGGTTCATAATTCTTTTTTGTCTATATGATTTAATCTTTTTATATAATAATATTTATTATCATTATCATTATTATGTAACATATTTATATTGTGATGTAGGGAGAGGTTACAACGTTAAGTGGAGCAAATATGTAAAACTACTCCTTTTCGCATGTTGATATTTGAATATTAATTATTATATAAAAATATAATATAAATTAAGAGAAAAAAAATTATACATTAGTTAGTTATAATACTATTACAATAATATTTGTACACAAATTATACAAATATAAAAATATTTTTATCGTGAAATACAATGATGCAAAAGGTAAATAAGACTCTTGGAACCGGACGGAGAGAGTAAAAAATACAAAAACAATACATAATAAGGCTTTTTTTTTTTTTTTTTTTTTTTGCATTTTTTTAAAATCTGAATATTTTAGTTTTAGTTAATATAATAATTTAATTTAATGGTTAATGACATGAATGTTGAAGAAAACTAAGTAGTAAGAAATTGAAGTAGACTTAAAAGACACAAATCTAACTTGAATTTCTCTAGATATCCATTTTTCCATAATAATCATATTTTTATATAATATTATTATTTTAATTTTTTATAACGTAAGAATCCACCGTATTAGCAAGATCTATAATTGTTAGAAATTTAAAACATATGACTCACAAATTCACCCAACATCATGGTTAAATTAAATATATATTTTATGATTTTCATTTGTTTCACATTAATAATGTATTCTTTATTACAATAAAAATAATTTCATATTAATACCAATATATTTTTAATTTTTATATTAATTGCAAAAATGCTACTATTATTTATAAAATATAAACAACAAAAAGATTTTGTTCATCCAAATTAAAATATTATTACGATTTTCAATATATATATAATATATATTTTATTCTCTCATAAAATTTAATATTTAATACAAAATATTTTTTTTTTATATTATCGAAAATTATTTAGACTTTAGTAACAAATATTTCAAATTAAAACACCAAGCAAATACACCCAAAAAAAACTTAAATATATATTTTAAATTTAATTTAACTATATATATATATATTATAACTAATTATTAACACCAATAACATCTTCTTCCATACAATAAAACTTCCCACAACAATCTCAACTCATAATAAAAAAAATCCTTTTTAAGTTAAAATTTATATAATCAGTTTTCCTTGAGGATGGATAGTTAAACAGGCCTTAGTGTATGGGCCGGGCCCACTTAGGGCAATTTAATGGGTCTCCACACAAATTTCTAAACTCTTGAATATCTTTACTAAATTTTGTGTTTCTTAAGAGATGAATCCGGAGAAAAATCGGTTTGAATTTAATATTAAAATGATTAATTTTTATTTTTTTTAAAAAATTGGTACTTTCTTTACTTACTAATAATATTTTTATTTACTTTTGACACGCAAAATTAGATACATTAGTATTTTATTGAATTATTGTATCTGATGATATATGTAAAAATAATTTTGCTTTTATTCTTTTTATATATATTTTTATATTTATATGAGATATAACTTTATTTAAAAGAAATAAAATTTTTTGAGTTGACAGAGTAAAATAAGTATATGAAAAGATTTTGAGTGAATAAAATAAATATATATATATTTTTATGAAAATGCAGAATTTAAATAGTAAATATATATATATATATCGCAAAAGAAACACACCAATTTAACATAAATTAGTAATGAATAAATTCATTTGTTTTTCAGGAGAATTTGAGACACATGATTTTTGGATTTTTTTACCCAATGTTTGAGTTATACTATTTGTGATGAATATTACTAAAAAATACTATAATATCTATATATATATATTTACATAATATATAATAATTATATACATTTTATAAACATTAATTTGTATGAATCAACCCCTTGATATATCTTTTTTTACTATTCATCGAAGAATCGACATTGTTATTCTTCATGTACTTATTTATCTTTTTTATGTCCTATCGATGGAACATGCTATTGCTCAAAACTATATCCCCGATAAATTTTTTATCTATACATGAGTTCTAAATACAAATAACTAAAAAAATAAGTTTACTATTCATTTATAATAAGTAAATTTTTCTCCTTCTAACATATTACTACATTATATATTTATTTTTTATTTAAAATATTATATCAAATAGCTATTTATACTTACATACATTTAATTATTATTATTAAATTCTTTTTATTATTCTAAAAACACGCTTCTATATTAATTAAACTTTGTAATGCCTATTAATTATGATCATTTAATGTATAATAAAAATCAAAATCTGTGATGCCTAAATTAAATATTATTTATGATCATTTAATGTATAATGACAATATGTACCCAATCCAAACTCGTAATTTACCGATGGGCCAAAATGCCATTGTCAATCATGTCAATAAATCGTGGCGTTACATTATTAAATTCTATAAATTAATATACTGTTGTGTAATAATAATGTTTCTGATCTCCATGTATTCATTCAATATTTTTAAATATATATTAAACATGGTCACCTGCTTACAAATTATTTATCTAGTGTAATTTGAGGTCGAGACTAGTTTGTAAGCTATTAGGTTCGATCAAAAATTTATTCACACTTTCGGTAGCGACTACGGGTTCCTACCTCATAAAAAAAAATTATATATATTAAATATGATATATTCAAATATTCAATAAAACTTAAATACTTTACATTAGAATTAAGAATTAATTTAGATAAAAAAAAAATAAGTAAATGATTTACGAACTAACGAACACGCCCATGGCAGAAAAATTGTCCTAAGCTTAGCTGGCGGAGAATCCTATAAAGAATGTCCGTGGCCGGCCTTCAAGACGACGTCGGTCGCTGTCCGAGTTAAAACGGCGTCGTAATAACTGGCTGATGTTCATAACTAATTTTAGGATCTGAGGCCCCACTCGTGGATGAATCTGGACCGTCAATGAAATGGACCCTACATAATTAGCGGTGTGGATGTGCTATAGCTTGGAGGTCCCGGGACCTGCAATGACTTCACTTCTCTTCTAGTCGGGTTTCAACGGATAAGGAGATATTCAGATTGCTTTTGTGTAATTGCGTAGCACGTATGGCCCACTACACAAGGAGCGCGTGTTTGACACGCGGGAGGGTTATTAATGAGAGAGTGGAGAACACGTGTTTGAAAAAGCGCGTGGTTGGAGAATAGGGACAAACCTCACAACAAAAGGGTGGCAACTCCCTGGCGACTTTCCTTTTCCCGAATTCTTCAATCACTCGTTAAACCAAATCATGGAAGTTTCTCTGCGCCTCTCGGTCTCCGCTGCGTCGTCGTCTCTCCGTCGCTTTCAAGCATTGGACACTGTTGCGGCGCTCGGAATTTGAGGATTTGTACGTATGCTACCGAACAATCTTTTGATCCACTATATTGGTTGGTTTGCGCGTTTGACTTGTAAGCGTGGCCGAATGAGCGAGTTTCAGTCTTCGTCGTCGTCTTCGTCTTCCTATGACTCTGCCGACGGACCTGCACAGACGGTATGGCGAAGATGTTATGTGTTGTGCGAGTATTGGTTTGGATTTGTCGATTGGTAGAGGAATTTTGGCGGACGATTTTGGCTTTAGTGATTGGTGGTTTGATTAAGTAGTTTCGTGCGTTTGAATTAGTGTTGATGACTAAGCTTGTGGAGTTTGAGATGAAGTTTAGTGGTTTGTTTGGATATGAGGCTTCAAACTCGTTGGAATATATTTTGTTATCACTAGTCGCTTCAATTGATTTTTGGGGATTTTTATGATTTCCTTGAAATGTGTTTTCCTTCTACCATGTTTTTATGATCGCTGCATCTCTTTCTTAATGTGGATGGACAAATTAAGTTGAGGACTCTTGAAAAAGTGCTGTTTGATTTGCTTACGATCGTTAATTCTGTTCTTCTAAAATTTTACTATTTTTCAGTGTACTACATAGGTTACATTCTTACGCTTTGTCATTTAGGTGAAGTAATATCTAAGCTTTCGGAAACTTTAATCAACTCCCGAAACTGAGGTGGACTTGAAAGTAATGAAATGTTGACTTGAGATCTATATGCTGAAGAGGATTTAATGTTTCTGTTACCTTTTACACAATGATTCAGATACAACTTTGAATCAATATCCAAAGTGTGTATCTATTTATGTTTTTTATTTATTTTATTTATTTTATTTATTTTTTTTATTTTTTATTTTTTTATTCACATTGCTGTTTGTGTGGATCATACTATTTACTGGATTGCAGAATGCTGTGGGGAGTAATTCATCTTCTCAGGGAATTTCTCCAGCAGTGTCCCGCCATTGGCATGATGTGTTCTGGTTGATGATATTTATGGTGCATCTGGTTGTGGTAGGCTTTGTCCTTGCGGTTTTGGGGCTAAATAGGTTTATGCAGCCTGATAGGCTGATTGGCAAGTTCACAATGGGGTTTCTTCAGAATAAGAATGGTTTAACAGAAGACTACTGGCCAATGTATGCTGTAGCTGGTGGAATTGGGGCTGTTCTGGGGTGGAGTTGGTTGTTGTTGCTTGGTTCTGGTGCAAATCAAATGATGAAGTTCTCGGTGCATCTTTTGACCACGTATCTTGCTGTCATCAGTGTGCTGTGTTTTTGGCTCGATCAGTTTTTCTGGGGTGTTGCATTTGCTATTGGCGCTGCATTGCAGTTCTTGTATGTTATAGCTGTCATCGATAGGTAAGCATTATAACTTGTGGTTAATTTCTTTTCACCTCTTCATGACTGTTTTACTTAGGATAATCATGTTAGAAACCTTTTTCCTTGTGCAAAACTCTTTTACTAAACGATAAATTTCTACTAGAGATATAATGTTATTGCCTGGTTTTGATTTTACTGCCTTGCTTTCGGCTTTCGATAGGCTTCCATTTACCATGCTGGTACTACAGAGAGCAGTTAGGTTGGCATGGAACCTTCCTGAGGTCACTAGAATAGCTTGCATTTTTATGCTAGTAATGCTTTTATGGCTAGCATTGTGGTCCTTCGGTGCAGCTGGGGTTGTGGCTTTAGAAATTGGTGGTACCGGTCGCTGGTGGCTTCTTGTGGTGAGCTGGCAAGTTTTTGCTCTTAGTATATCTTCCGTAATGAATAATGGCTATCAAGCTACACTTTTGGGACAATATTATGATGCTGCCTTGTGCACTCACAGGTTCTCTCTGTCAGTCTATTCTGGACAGGGGCTGTTCTCTGTAATGTAGTCCATGTCGTAGTTTCAGGTATGGTTTTTCTCGTTCTTATTCATGGTGGTCGAGATGCAACATCAATGCCTCCCACACCAGTGATGAGTTCCTTGCGATATGCCGTCACTACTTCTTTTGGCAGCATATGCTATGGATCACTCTTTACAGCCGCTATCCGTACATTACGGTGGGAGGTGTGCAATCTATTGAACATGTTCTTAGCATATTCTTTATTGAATAGCCATGTGATAACTGTTTGCATTCCACTTGTGCGGCATGCTATAACAACTTTTTGTGGACTTCTCAGATAAGGGGATTGAGATCGAAAATTGGCAGTAACGAGTGCCTGCTTTGCTGTGTTGATTTTCTATTTCACATGGTTGAGTTCTTGGTCCGCTGGTTCAATAAATACGCTTATGCTCGGGTATGTTTTTTGCAGTGTTGCTACAGTTTTCACCTTTGTTGCTTTATAAGGCTATATAAACCCAAATGATCTTAATCCATTGAGAGTTTTGCTTCTTGTTAGTTGCTCTACATATGAGTAGTCATCTTTTGGCTTTCTTTCAATCAATTACATTAATATATTAAGGGTGCGTTTGTTTGAGGATTTGGATTTTGAGTTGGGATTTGGATAGTAAAAAGATTGAATTGCAATAAATGTATGATGTGATATAAATAGGCGTCGATGTGATGTTTTGAATGTAAGATTAATCTTTAGTATAATATAAGAAATGAAAAATAGTTATTTAATTTGATGTTTTTAGGGGAAAAAAATTGGTGAATAGTAGAAATCGGGAAAAATCTTTCAAACTAACACACCCTAGACTGTTTTGCTTCCTGTTAGTTACTCAACATATGAATAATCATCTTTTGGCCTTTCTTTCGATCAATTGCATTAATATATTAAATGTTTTGCTTCCCGTTAGTTACTCTACATGTGAATAATCATCTTTGGGCCTTTCTTTCGATCAATTGCATTAATATATTAACTGTTTTGCATCCTGTTAGTTACTCAACATATGAATTATCATCTTTTGGCTTTTCTTTAAATCAATTGCATTAATATATGAACTGTTTTGCTTCCTGCTAGTCACTCTACATATGAATAATAATTTTTTGCCCTTCTTTCGATCAATTGCATTAATATATTAACTGGTTTGGAACTTCCAAATTATAAGGATGATCAGTTAAATTTCGAACTCCCACAGCATCAATTTACTTGATATAAACATGGCACAGTTTCGGATCTTTCTTCCATGTAGATTGCTGTTTATGGAAAGAGCTTCAATCACTCAGCAAAAGATGCGTGGGAGCTCTTCCAATCAACAGGCGTCGAATCTCTCATAGCATACGACTGTTCTGGTGCAGTCTTATTCATGGGAACAGTCTTGGGCGGACTCATATCCGGAACATGCGCTGCAATCTGGACTAGAATCAAGCACCCGGACCGAATGGTAATGGTGGGATCTACTGCCATGTTGATGGGGATGATCTTGGTAATAAAATAACAAAAAAAAAAAAAAAAAAAACTAACCCATGCTATATAACACAATCTCACTCGCTTCCCGCGATTCTTTCTCAATGTCTCTCTCTATCCGGCAGGTTGGGCTGGCAATGGTAGTCGTGGAAAGTGCAGTGACATCTATTTACATATGTTATGCAGAAGACCCCTCGCTAATCGACAGGTGGGATGCCGCGTTCTTTGTGCAGCTGTCTGAAAAATTACACCAACGGCTACAACATCGAAGCGCCCGGGCTCGGGAAGTCTTGAACCATAGAGTGGAAGAGCAAATACAAGGAGCTGCTCTTGCATAGTTTTGATAGATCTTGCCTTAAGGTAAGTTTCTCTGTTATTTTTTTTTTAAAATTGCAATTGTATAATTTGTTTCAGCTTTCTAAATGTGATTTCATAGTGTTATATCTTCTGGGGGGCTAAAAAAAAAACGAATATAAAAAAAAAAAGTGCTTTGCAAATATAATGAATGATTAGAATGTTATTACCATTAGTTGATTTTTCGAGCTCATTCAAGAATTTAGAATCCAAAAAAACAAAAAACTGTGCTAAGATGGATCTTCTTACATGGGTACATTATATGTGTTTACGTGTGCTACTAAAATATATTCTTAGAAATTAAAAATATTATCGTAGAAATGATGAAGGTCCGAGGTCGAGGTCGTATGAACATAGATTGTCTTCGTCCCTTCATCACTTCATCTGCCTTAACAATCTTGCTCAAATGAGTGTTCCATTAGTTTCCCTGCAAGAGAAAAGAGAGTTGTGAAAAAAATCTAGGAATTGCTTTTGTAATAATAATGTTAGAATAGATATAATACGAAAGAATTAAATTAGAAATAACCTTCTCTAGCTTATTTGATGACTCCTCCCATTTTTTCATTTTTGACTGAACTTTTTTTGTGTGTAAAACAAGAAAAGATTGGAGAGCAGCCTTTGTTATAAAGGTATTTATTGAAGTTAGGACATATATATATATATAGTTTAAAAATAAAATAAACTGGGGGTTGGAAAGCGTGACACATGACTTGATCGACCTAGTCTAGTAGGTTACTTGATAGAGGACAACACATTTCAACCCCCAAATCTAAAATAATTTGGTACCTAATTTCTTCCACTAGTAACTTACTTTATGCTCTAAGTAAGACGATTAGTTAGTTATATAGTTAGTGGGTTTGATGATATCATATGATATGATTAGTGTTTGTAGACGATTAGTTAGTGGATTATATATATATCACACAATTAATTAGAGTTAAGTTTGTTTCCACGTGGTTTGGAAGGGGTTTGGTAGTTTTTAAGAATAATAGAAGTTTAAATAAAGAATAAGGGACTGTTTGGTTACATATGCTCTCAAGATTCAAATGATTGGTGGTATCAATGATGTATAATTTTTTTTAAATATAAAATTAAATATATATTTAAATCACATTAAGGGGTGTTTGGCAAATAGTTTTTTTAAGAGCTTTTAGCTTATCGAACAATTTTAGTTGTAGTCAAAAAGCTAATTTAGGTGTTTGGTAAATTAGCTTTTTTGGAATAGCTTTTTGGATTCAAAAAGCTCTGAAAAGCTAACTTACCCAGAGTTTTGAAAAAGCTTTAAAAATTTATTATGCATTTTACATAAATAAATATATTTTAATTATTTATTAATTATATTAGAATATTTTATTATAATATAGTTTTACTTTTATAAATTTAAAATAATCAATTTTTATATAAAAATTATTTTAATGGTAAAATAAATAAATTTATTAAAATCAACATAAAATAAAAAATATAAATATTAATAATTTATTTTTATATTAAAATTACATTATATAAATTTTATACTAAAAATAAATTAAATAAATTAAATTTATTGAAAATTATAAATATAATGAACTAATTGATTACTAATATGATAAATATATTCACGAAAAATTTATTATTTTATATTTTACATCATTTTCAATAGAAAAAATTATTTATATATTTTAATAAAAATATATTATTTTTTAAAATCTAACTGTAATAAAAATAAATACTTTTATAACACTTTTACAATTTTCAATAACTAATAACAAAAAATATTAAATATTCTAAACTGAACATAATTGAATATATTAAAAACAAAAATAAAATAGAAATGTTCTCAATTGTCATTTTACGTATAAATCGTTAGTCAAATCAGCTAATCGCTAACAGCTAAGCTATCAACACGCTCTAAATATTAATTTATTTTTTTTAAAAGAAAAAATTAAAATTGCCAAGAACATTTAATATATATATAATACTGTGTAAATATTTCGGGTCTGTTTTTTTAATATAAAATAAATAATGCAAGACTCCGATCAAAAAAAAAAAAAATAAAATAAATAGTGCAAGACATGGAACAAACAAACCCTTGATACTTCTGATTACGTTGGGAATGATTATTAAGTATTAATCAGATGAATCTTCGAATGGAATTATGTAGTATTAATTATTTATTTACTAGAAAAAATCTATTATAGGTTAGGTTAAAAACAAATAATATGAAAATTAGGATATTAGTAGAATTTTTTAAGTTAACAGTAATGAGATACAAAAAAAATATATATATAATTGTGAGAATCTGGATATATAATTTGTTCCCTTTGTATTTTTAGATGAAGAAATTTCTTATATTAGATATAAAAATTGTATTGATGATATAAAAAATAATATTTTGTGTTAAATTATTAATTTTTTGTGAGTGAATAATATATATATATTCTTATAATATTAATAGAAAATCATGTCATGAAAACAAATATTGGGTGAAAAAATCTATATTTGCCGTAACATATAAAAAAGTTAAAGTGGGGTGGATTGGAGTTGATTTGATTCGATTATACAAAATGTAGTGTAGGTAGGTAGGTATATGAATACTTCCTCTCACGTTTAATTCAATTCTACCATCCAACCAAACATTTAAAGCAAATAATCAAAGTCCAAAAGGTTTGTTTGGGTTTTACTCCAACTCAAAATTAATATTATTCCGTAGTTTGTAATATTCAGTAGCTTGTCAATATAAATATATTATCTCCAGTTAAATATTCTTTTTATATTGGCTAAATTATTCAGAGAATTTGGATAAAATATAACTAAAAAATATATTAATAAAAATAATTATAATTTATGAAATTTTAATATAATTAAAGTATATAATTATATTTTTTTTTAAAAAAATAACACAATGTGAGACAATCAAAATGAAAAAAAGTTAAAACATTTTATGTGTGACAAAAGAGTATTATATTAAAATATTATTTAAATAAAAATAAAATCAAAATCAATCAAACACAGATAAATACTTTCTTCTACCTGCGCTTCTTAGGGAAATTATTGTTATTATTATTATTAGAATAGATTTATAGTCCAAAATGAGAAGCATTTGTGACAAACAACTAAACTAAACGGCCAGAATTTTGCATATAACGATTTATTAAAAAAACAAAAAACAGACTACAGTGCATTGCTAAAGAGCAAAGGGCAAAAAAAAAAAAAAAAAAAAAAAAAGAAGTAAAATTAGACCTAAGATGAGATGATCAACAACTGCAAATATGAAATATCTGTAAAACTTATGAAGAAAAATATCTGACTTCTCTTGGGCACAAAAACCACAGAGAGCCATTCGAAACCCGACCCACCCGACCCGACACGTAAACAGAGACGAGCATGTACCAAACAAAACGACCGATCGATCAGCGACACAACAAGAAAAATAGACAAAGAAACAGTAGACAAACCCGGGAGGCAGCAGTCCTAGCTCGACATCATGGTGTTGTCGATGGATTGGAGAGCTTGATTGGCATAATAACGAACATCCACATCAGGGTCCTCTGCAAGCTCTGCTAATGCCGGGCGAATTGTATTCTCCACCACCTAAACGTTTCAGATAGCAAAATGGTCAGTATTCTGCAGGAAAAATAAAAATAAAATTATAGAGTTGAAGGATTGAGGGAAACTCACAGACTGGTCGACGATTGGGATCATGGATTGCAGCACCTTTGCAACGTTGAACTTAATGTTGGGCACTCTGCAAAATAGCGCAGAAATTTGTTAAAATTGCTGGAATGGACCAACGACAAGATAGGAAGATGAGTTACCTGTCCTTCGATGCAGTGATGACGACAGGAAGCAATTTGGAACATGTTATCTCGGAGCCCAGTACGGGTGCGAGCAAGGAAATGGCGTGAAGAACAGTCATTCGATACAGGTAGTGTTGATTGTTTATCATTTCCAAAACCTGCACGGAATATGAATCAAAAGATTCGAGAACATTCATGAAGAAAGATTGCCGAAATGAATCGAACCTGAGGAACTATGTGCTGCATTGCCCACTCGGGACCAAATTCTTCTGCCAGACGCTTCAGATTATTAGCTGCAGCATCTCGAATGGAGTAAACCTGTGAAATTTTTTCATAACTGTCGATTTATGCATTCCCTACAAAATTGAAGTTCAAGATATAGATAATTTTCAACGGAAAGTTCAACCTTGTCGAGCAGCCACTGCATGCAAAGTGCACCCAACTTATCATCGAAAAATCCGACGCCCAACTGACTGGCCAATAATGGTATGTATTCTATGATAGCGAGGCGGACTCTCCAGTGTCTATCTTCGGCCAGCTCAACAATGGCTGGTAACAAAGATTGGGAGAGCAGATCGATTCCTATGACCTGCATAGGCCGAGAAGACGAGTTTGTTGAAATGGTTACTGAATGTGGTGGAAATATAAAGGAATGGGATATTTACCTGATTGACTTGGTCGAGCTTGCTAATAATGTTAAGACGAACATCAGGAAATTCATCTTTCAGGAGGGAAAGAAAGATGGGAAGAAGTTGTTCGATTGTTGCATCCTGCATCAATGAGACAAATCCGATATAACCAAAAATAAACACCAAATAGAGCCAATTGGTAGCTGGTCATATATGAAGAATAACCAAAATATCGATAAGTAAGCAATAGTTTTTACCTTCCCCAAAACGGGAGCCATTCCCATTATAACAGATGCCAGAGCAGATCTCACATGTTGTGAAGAATCAGATGCCAATTCCTGCGATCGGTCATCTCCCATCAAATACACAATGAAAACAATAATAGTAATGATATTTTCATACTACCGATACGGGGTAAAAACCAATGGTGCTACCTTGACACATGGGAGAATGTGCTGAATAGAAAGTTCGGGATTAAGAATTTGACAGAATTTTGTCACTTTCCCAGCAGCAGCTATTCGCACTTCTGCTTCATTGTCTCGGAGTAGGCGGACATAAGCAGGAACCAAATCCGTCCTTGAAAAACCAAATGTGAAGGAGTGTAATATTAATATAATTACACGTGAGTATGGGCAACATATCAATTAACTACCTAGTAGGATCAGGTCCCACAGCCTCACAAAGCTCATACAACTGGTTGGCAACCATGTAGCGGACACGCCAAGACTTATCCTGATATACACAACATGTACATACATTACTTGCTAGAATGATATTTAACACAAAGATAACGTCAATGGCATAGTGTTTGTTAGAGTAACCAAAGTTCATTTTATGCCTCAAAATTTGATAAGGTCAGTTTTGTGATTGCAGTTAATAAGCTACGAGGGAAAACATTTAATAAAGGAAATAAGATGCCCAAGAATTGTTCCAATAGTTTAGCACAAAACATATATTAGTCAACATCACATATAATACCAACACATAATTCAACGACACCAGAGTTAAAATCTCAGTCGAGCAAGACAATATGAAGAAAATAGTTATAATGATACAAAGGGACATTTCACAACATTGTTTTTGCAGAGTACCTGTGAAAAGTTTACAATTGCAGGGAGAACATGTGCAACACAATCTTGAGATTCCAGTAACTTTCCAAGTGCAGCACAGCCCTCCACAGCTAGCAAGCGAACAGAATCCTGATCTGAAAACAAAACAAAAATACTAATTAGATCTGCCATCGTACTTTTTGTTGTTTCCTTATCCCACAAAGACATTGTTCAAGATGACAGTAATCAATACTCGTGATTGCCACAAGTAGGAACATAATACATGTTTCAACTGCGGACACATAGTTGTAAATGCTGCATGGTGCATATTTTAAGGGTGTGTTTGTTTGAGGGGTTGGATTTTTTTTCCACTATTCATCCAATTTTTTTTCCCCAAAAACATCAAATCAAACACCTATTGTTCATTATTAGTATTATACTAAAAATCAATTTTACATTCAAAACATCAATCAACACCTATTTATATCACATCATACAACTATTCAAATTCAAAATTTTTACTATTCAAATCCCAACTCAAAATCCAAACCTCCAAACAAACACACCCTAAGTATAACTATATTATTAATATACATAATACACACATATATGCAACAAGTGGAAGAATAAAAGACTCCCCGACGTTCCTTTCAAATAAAAATAAGAAAACAAAAGATATACCCTATAAACCCCTAATACTTTATAACAAAAATGCGCACAGCAAGGCGCGTGCCTTGCTATATAGTGTTAGGTGGATCACCAACAAGTCCCTCCCCTGATTTTTTTGTTTCAAGACTCAATAGCATCCATCATCTTTTTGAGCATTTCTCTGCTTCAGTAAACAAATTTATTCATCCATCTTAGGCATACATTCTAATGAATATCATCTGATCTAAAATGCAAGAAGTAAAAAATATTATATACCATCTCGTGTAAGATCCTCAAACATAGACATGACTTCAGTCTTGAGATGAGCAGGTTCTACAGTGGCAGCAAATTTTCCCAAATTTGTTGCAGCACCTCTTCTAACCATTGGCATATCATCTTGGCACAACTGACTGTACATTTCCCTTAAGTCAGGCTTTAATGAGTCTGGGGCACTTGGATAAAAAATATGAAATAGTCCACACGCTGAGACTCGAGCTGTAAACCATTCACCAACAGCAAGCCTCTGTAATTATGAACAAACCAATACACAGAGTAATTATATAAATGTAATGAAAATTAAAGAGATGGAGGCTTCAATATTAAGAGTGTACATCAATATTGTATCAAAGTCACGGGCAACAAATTCCAAGCATTTTGAACTATAAGCACTAGAATATGCACACTTCATGCTGCATCATAAATATGAAAGTTGATTCTTGTCAAATAAGTAGCATTAGAAAGTGAATGACCAGTGAAACAGCGAGTTCCACACATCCAAAGCAATAGTCAGCATATGATCGTAATACCAGAAATGGAATAAATATGAAGATATCGGTACTATGGTAAGAAAAAAGAAAAAATAGCAATAAATAGAAGAGGAACATAGTAGCACGCATCACAGAATTCTGAAGGGCCACGAATTATCTTATAATGTATGAGCAAACACCTCCTAGACAAAGACAGCAATCTAAATATTTAGAAAACAATGCAAGGCCAAAATGCTTATATTACCTTCACGAGAGGAATAAATGAGTCGACTAAATCACTTTCCCTCATCTGTGACCCAATTTTGCATAGCGATTCCACAGCTTTGTCCCTCACACATGTCTCTTCCATCGTACACAGTGTTTCTAAAGGAGGGAGGAGCACATGTGCATGCTCCGCCCCACCAACATATGGCATGAAGGCGCCTAATTCTTCGGCCATTGCCAGCAGCACCTCATCATCATCATCATTGTTCTCACTAAGAAATGGGATTAACTCCTTGCGTGTCCTCTCCTCCCCAAGCGCACGTGCTATGGTCGATAATTTCCGTATAGAATTCAAGCGTAGCTGAATGTCATCATTCTTTAATTCATCTATCAGTACTGCTATCGGATAGAGCCGCTCGTCCACCATCGCCATTTTCTCAATACTCTTCCCAGCAATACACACTTCATCAACACATTTCAAATAATAAATAAACATAAGCCTCATCTGATTTATATAACAACAGAGAATAACACATACACTTCAGACGCTTAAGAAACCCTTAAATTTTATCCTCATTTTTACCTACAATATATGGCAATCACGCAAGATAAAACCATTTTTTCAGTCCTAAAAAACACAAATCAGGTTCTTTATCATCCTCCACGTACGCGCATACAAAGAGTTGAAGCTATGAAGCGGAAGGGTTCTTAATCGCTTTTAATTTCTTCGACGATAGCAAAATGACAATTTTCTTTTACAGAAAATCAGCGTAGTCACCACGTTCGATTATCAAGAAATTATTGAGATTTCTCATATACTAAAACAGCGAACGAGAAATCGAAATCGAAATCAATCGGCCAAAAAAAGTCAGATCTGGCAATTGCAAAGAATAAAATCCAAAAAAAAAAAAAAAACAGAAACATGATACGATTCAGCATACATTCAACAAAAGAGGAACAAACGAGAGCTACCAGAGGCAACCAATTCCTGCTGGATTCCAATCGGAGGCCGCGAGAGAGCTTCGTGTGTAACCTTGAGGTATTTCCCGACAAGTGCTCTGTTTTTCTTTCCATTCATCAAAAAGCGGAATACTATAAACGCGACTTTACTACGTCGATAAAGTCGTGTTAGATAGTTGTGCCCTTGGGGGCATTTTAGTAATTTGTCATTACTGTAATACTACTAGTACGTCGTCGTTTTTAAAATTGGCGGGACCGCTTTATTTTATTTCTCCCATTTGAGCTCCTCTGCAAAGAGTGCTGCGCACGACGTATTTCCCGGTCTCTAACCTCTCCAATCAATGCCTCCCAAATCCGATAGCAGTGAAGGTAATCGGCTGTATTATGATTTCTAATACGAACACCGATCTTTGATTTCTTGGGAATGGTTTTTTGAAAGTTATCGGTTTGTTTCTGGGTGTTTATTTGCAGGAATCGTGCTCAACTACGTGAATGAGGTAATTAGCATACTAATCTTTCGTGTATGTTCAAGTTTTATAGTCGTTTGGGCAAGGAACCGACTGATTTGTTTATTTTTATTTTTTCAGATAGCTGTTTTTTGTTTTGTTAGATTTAATTGGTTGTAGCTAGTTGGTTGAAGTACCCGTGTAGTAAGATTTCGTTGTTGTTTATAGTGATTCTGGTTATTTTGCGTTTGGAACGACTACCAGTTTCTTCCAGTTTGTGAATTTTCACTTGGATCAAAGGAATTTGTAATATTCTGACTAAAAGGAGAAGATTCTGTCTACTTTCGCTTTGAATCACTAGTAGTTGTTTCTTCCAGTTGGTCTAGAATTTTCACTTAGATAAAAGGAGTTGGTGATGTTGTAATTAAAGGAGAAAGGAATAAATCATGAATAAAATTTATGATGCCTTGAATTGTCTCCTAGGATGCTATAAACCATTCATACCTGGTAATGAAAGGGAGGCCATCTCTCTCCTTTTCTTGGGTGGAGTGGGGTAGCTTTGCCAATGATTCTGAACTATTGACAATTTGTGTGTTGTGTGCAAACATTTAGTCAATAATTGCTCCTTATGGTGATATTGTATGCATTTTTATTGTACATTTGCAGCAGAATAGGCCGTTGAATTCACAAAATGTCGCCGATTCCTTGCAAAAATTCAATCTAAAAAAGGCTGCAGTACAGAAAGCATTGGATAGCCTTGCTGACAGTGGGAAAATATCATTCAAGGAATATGGCAAGCAAAAACTATACCTGGCCAGACAAGATCAGTTCGACATTCCAAATAATGAAGAGCTGAATCAGATGAAGGAAGATAATGCTAAACTGCAAGAGCAGCTCAATGAGCAAAAGAAAGCTATTGGTGATGTTGAAGGAGGTAATATAGTTCAGAAAACGTAGTTTATAACTGCTTTATTTGTTCTAAAGCAGTTCCCATAATTTTACCTCTTGCATTTTCGAATTTCTTCTATCATATAAATGGATCATTTCATTATATTTGTATTCCAAGAATGTGCTGATATGTGAATGTGATTTCCAAATTCAGATTTGCTTCACTAGTCAATCTGATCTGAATGTTTATCATTGTCACAGAGATTAAAGCACTGCAGTCAAACTTAACCCTGGAAGAGATACAAGCCAGACAAACCAAATTGGCAAAGGATGTGAGTGATTTCATGGATGAAGTTATATTATTTATCTTTCTCATAAGCAGCACAAACATCCATAACACTCTACATTTTCAATGATTTACAGACCGAACAGATGGAGGAAAAATTGATCAAATTGAGGCAAGGGGTTACTCTTGTGACCCCTGAAGAGCGGCAGGCAGTGGAGAAAGTTTATGTGGATATGGTAACTCAGTGGAGAAGACGAAAGAGGATGTTCAAAGAAATTTGGGATGCAATAACCGAAAACTCCCCAAAGAATCTAAATGAATTCAAGGTCTTGTGGTATCTTGTAAATCATTTGTTTTGTTACCAAGTAACTAAACTAACCTATCTTTCATAACATGTATATATATGTTACAGGAGGAACTTGGTATTGAGTACGACGAAGAGGTCGGTGTAAGCTTGCAATCTTACAGCGACCTGGTTCAAAATGGAAAGAAGAAGCCCAGGATCAAGTAAGCCTTTTTAACAAGATTCCAACAATAAACATGTTTCAAGACTTACAATCTAATCACTTTAAGCTAATAGTTATTGCCATTTCTTTGTTATTATATGTTCTTCCCTGGCTTCAATCAAATGCAAAACATCTTTCATACTTCAGTTAACTATCTAAAACTCAGCTGGGCAAAAATCATTAGAAATTTCGCATACTTACAAGCAATGAAATAAAAGAACAAGAAGAATCTCATAAGACAGGAAAACCAACCCAAAATAGTTACAGTACCTCCCCACAAATAGTAGTTTGTCATCGTCCATTTGCCCGTAAGGTCCTGACTGACATTGGCCTCCTATTAATGTTTAAACCTTCTGCACTTTGAAATCTTTCCTCAGTGTCAAATCGTGCTGGAGAACATCCAAGTCCTGGCTCGAATGTCAATCCAACTTGAGCCCCGTTCCTCCTGTGGTAAGTCCTAGGTATGGAAAGCTTTTCCTCATCTTCACTATCACTTCCATTAAATGCGAAGTCTTCTTGTTTAAGCTTGCCCTCTTCGTCGGATAATATTTTAACTCCTTTCACATGGTCATCTAGTGAATCCGAGCTTGATCCAGAATACGATCTCTTGAATTCAACCTCTTTGTTCTTTGGCTTAATCTGTTCCATTCCATCTGCATCTTTCAAACTTCTTTCCGGGTGTATTTTCTCAAAATGTAAATTTTCCTTGTGAGCCTCCATTGGATCACGAACTGTTGAAACTTTCTTGGGTCGGAAATTGGGGCTGTTGGGATCATCTGGATCCGTGGACTCGGATCTAGACAGTTCCACAGCTGCCCTGGCAGCTGCTGCTGCATAAGCAGCGGACTCAAATGCTGCCTGAGCTGCATCGGCCACATCTGTGTACCTTCTCCTCAATTTAAATGAACCTGAAAGATCTTCGTCCATTTCCTTCTCATCCAGCTGTATTGGTTTGTTCGCCAATGGATCCGAAGAAACTCTTGAGTGGGATGATGAAGGGCCTGGCCTCTTGCTCTGATCCCATGTCTCATTTTTCTGAAACCAATAATCCCTCAATTTATTGGTGCTTATGCATTGCAGTTAGTTACATATAACTTAACATGACATTCTGGTCGTAGAATCCTTACCATTATCGTACCGGTTAAGGTCTCCATAGGAAGATCAATGTTGTTATCTGTAGCAATCTCCTGGATAGCCTTCAATTTGGTCTCCATGCTCGGAGGCCGAGTCGACAGCTTTTGTATAACCTGTAGGTCATATACTATTGGATTATGAATCCTGATAACAATCTAGAGCCTGGCCCTGGGATAGGGTAATTACTACTTTCTAGTGTATTTTTTGATGTAATTTATTGATTTTAGTATAGTATAGTATAGTATAGTTAAATTTCTATTAGGTAGGCGTAAATCAATTTAGATCGAATTTGGTATTGTTTGAATATAATACAATACACACCTTGGGGCTTACTCCACAATGGTTGCGCAACTGCACGGCCCGAGCTGCGAATTCCTTCCCGAAACGGGAAGTGAATATTGCCCGAATCTCTTGAAGCTCGGGGAACTCCCCACATCGTGTCGATGCAAATATCAGACTCGACACAGCTTCCTTTAACTCTTCAGGACAAATCCTGCCAACAAAACAAGAATTACTACTCTTTCTCTGAAAATTAGTATTATTGCTTAATTACTTCGTTATTGTTATTATAGATAGATTTCTAAGAAAACCAACTTATCCTGCTCGATAAGGCTGATCCTCTCCACCAACAGATGACAATACCCTTCCAATAGAACCAACACATCCAACATATTCTGCTCCTTGATCACTTGCTCAACCTGGTCGGTAGTGAAACGCCCAAACACATCCATCAGTTTAAAATAGATCCCAGAAATTAAAATTAAATTAATTTAAATCAAATTAAGTTTAATGACCCTGAGAAGTGCTCTTTCATGGTGGCCAGTTTTCAAAAGCTCTGCCACGTCGGAGCGGGCGACGGTGCACCGTGCCCGGCGCTGGTTCTTGAGCACCGCCGACCGGGAAACGGCCATGGCCGCCGTGGCCCTGAACTTTGAGGTCTTGAAGCCTCTCCCTAGCAAAGCATCAAGCTTTTTGCCCATAGGATTAGGGAGAATATGAATGACTATTAATTTAATTACTAGGGTAGCACAGAACAGGACAGGATAGATGGGTAGCTGTTAAGCAGAGATAACTGAGTCTGTTATATACGAGGATTGGATTGGATTGTATTGTATTGTTTGTTTAATGCACGTAAGAAGAATTAGAAAATGGCAAGAATTTTGGTTTAATGTTTTTTCCGAATATGACAAAGCGCGTAGGGAATAATTTTCTTCGTGAGGAAGGGAAGGGAAGGGAAGGGAAGTCTAATGGGAAATAAAGATTAATAGCTGTAGTGTGTAGCTGCGTCCGTGGCGATTGACCTGGCAGGTCAAGCGCCGCTGTTACACGCGTCCGCCGGAAACCCCCTGCGTTGGATCTGTGTAATTTTATTTATTTATTTAATTTTTTGTAATTTAGAAATTAGTAGCCGCAGTATATAGGATAAATACAGCTCCGGCTGAACTTAATAATTTACAAAATTACGTAAATATTAGACGAATCATGTATAAAAGATGAACTTAAAATTGACCTAAACTCGAGTTATGACCTTACGGCCCCGAATTGACTTTGATAAACTAGGTGATTCATAAGATGGTTGGTTGGCACACAATAGAGGTCATTTTGAGCTAATTTAGGTTTGTTGTCATTATAATTGTTTTCTGTTTTTATATGATTTATTTTTCGATAAGAACAATATTTTTTAAAATAGAAAATTATCTTAAGTTATTATCTAAAAATAAAAACACATTACTTGTCCTTTTAGATTTATTTAGATAATGTTAAATTGAATATGTATTTAATAGTACTATATTAGTATTCTTCTAAAAAGTTGTAAATAATCTTTACAGAAAAATAGTACATTCACTCTGTCCCTTTTTGTTTGTTGATTTAGTTTTAGCACATTATTTTATATGGTCTATTTTTAATTACTTTTATAGTTTTTTTTATTATTTTTTAATCTTTTAAAATATAAAAAAAAAAAAAAAGGTTTTGTTTGACTTCAAATATTTTTTTAATTATTATTTAGCATTGTATGATTTTTTAATAAAAATATATTATTTAAATAAAATAAACTAGCCTTTTTATGTTTTTTATTTGTATTTTGATGGCCTTGGAGTGAGATTGACTTCATAATTTGTATCTCGTCTGCTCTATTAGTGGGAATATTTATATTTATTTTTATTTTTGAAAAAGAAAAGAAAAAACAATTTACTTAAATTTGTAATGTATGAACAGAGTGATTCTCTCGAGTCTCCTAAGCTTAAAAGTATATTTTATTTTGAGGGTATCTTCGTGGAAAATAAATAATTGATCGAAAACTCCACGTTAGAAAAGTGGCCCCCTTATTATTAATTAAAAAAAAATGTGTGGTAATAAATCAGTATTCTAGTTATATATACCAACAGGCAATAGGCAACAGTCACGATTGGTTAGACTTTTATGACTAACTTTTTGTATACGCCGGAATGAACACGCTGTGACATTTGGAATTGGATGCCTGCCTATATCCTTCAGTCACATATATACATTTTTACATTTCAGGACAAGAATTGATTTAGGTGGAAACGTAATAAACATGAGATCAAGAAAATTCTAGAAACTTATTACAATGCATGTTTAATTTCTATAGTCTTTTTCTTTTTTTTTTATTATTTTTTAATTTTCCTGAGAATGGTGATTTATTGTAAGAGTTTGCATGTATGTATAAATATAGTATTGCACTAAAAATGAAAATGGTTGTTGAGATACTTTAGATATTAGTATATTTATATTTAGATTTGGTCTTAGATTAATTATATTTGAGTCTGTTTTGATGATCAATAAGACAATCTCATTATTTTTCTTCAAAATTTCTAATATCGAAAGTGTGATAGTATAGGTTGTTTGGAAATAAATACTAAGGAATGAAGTAACTGAATAGACCATGTATTGGAATTGGATAGGTTGAGTAGTAGCATATACTATACTATAGTGTAAAGTCTTGTTTGGTGAGCTACCTGTGCTCTTCGATTCCTTTCCCCATTAATACAACAAACCAAATTTTATTAATAGGTAGTGAGTGAGTGAGGATCACAAAAGTGGCAAATATTACTTTGCAGCAGAGCAGACCACACGAAATGTTTGGATGCACTCACTCTTTCTTGGTTTATTTCAAGAATTAATTTAGGAATGAGTATTTGCACAAAATCATCTTGAAATGTGTAGATGATGATGATGATGATAGACCATTTATGAGAGAGAACTAGGGAAGGGAAATATGTTTCTATTGATGATATTGGATTTAGTATTAAAATAATGTATAATAGAATATTTTGTATGATGAAAAAAATGTACTTCTTTTGTCCATTGAAAGGTTGTTATTTTTTATTTTTATTCGTCCCAAAATAAGGTTATCAAGTGAATTACCTACATAACATAATAAATACTCATAGACAATACTAATAAGGATATTTTCGTATTTTTCACTATAATCTATTATAATACTCATATTAAAAAATTTACGTACAAAAAGTAAATGATAACCTTGCACTGGGACGGATAGAATATATATATATTTTTTTTAAATAGTAGAAATATGAGAGTTGAAAACTAAAGAAACAAATCTGTGTTTTGATTCTTTTAGAGTTTGATTTTATAATTTTTTTTTATTATATAATCATAGTGCTATTTTTTAAATATATATATTTATATTGCATTTTACAAAATATTACATTCAAATAACTATTTAAACTAAATACAGTCAAATAAAGTTCCAAAATGACCATTAGTCGTGTTTGGGTGCATATTATTTATGTTATTAGAGACAGCAATTTTAAGAAGAGGGGGCCTACTTGCTTAGAATTATGTACAAGTTTATTGAGTTTGTTCTATTTATGTTTTATTTCAGTTTTTTAATTATGCACCAGCCAATATATAATATCACATATATACATGTCTTTCTTTCATAATGTCAACCATTAGACTCAATTAAATTCCAGAATCAATACTTATAATTTTTAATAAAAATATTATATTAAAATACAATTTAAACTAAAATTTAAATTAAAACTTTAAGTGTAAAGATAATGCTCATGTTTTCACTTTTATGTTCCACTTAGTAGTTTACTAGTGCTTCAAAAAAAAAAAAAAAATTGACAAAAAAATTTGTGTTCTTAGGTTTGAAAGTTGGGTTTGGTGTTGGAAAGGGAAATAATAAATTTTTAATTGAAATGATTATTTAATGTAATATGAATAAATATTGATATAATATTTTAAATATAAAATTATTATTTTTTTGTATGATATAATAAATAAAATATTTTGATTATCTCATTTGAAAAAATCAACATCGTGCTTAATTTTCCAACACATAAAAAAAAAATACAATGAACACATTCTTTTATTTCATATACGAATATGATATGTAATGTTATTTTAACAATCAGTACATATTTATATTATATTAATATAAATAATATATTATCTATAATAATATCTTATGTTATCCTTTAGCACATGATGTGTTGTCAGTACTAATTCAGCATAATAATTGCCGTTGAAAGAAAAAATAAGTTCTTGCTTTGATACTTTTGAAGAAAAACAATAATATATAATGCTTATGTATTGATATTATTCAAACTATTACATAAACAAATATCCAGTCAGAAAGTATATATTTGTTTTTTTGTGTTTAAATTATTATATCAAAATATAATATTAATTAAGAAAAAATATATCTTTATTAATTTTTTATAATAAAATACAATGATTTTTATTAAGTAATTATATAATATAAAAATATTTTTAATGGTACAATGATTAAAAAACAACTATATACTTTATGGTGGACAAAAAAAATATATTTTTATTTAAGATCATATTTAATATTTTCTCCCTCCTTGAAATGATACCTATATGATTGGACATGAATTTTAATAAAAATTAATAAAATAATTATTTTTTCTTTTATAGTAAAAAATACAAATATTGTCCATAGAATATATATATATATATATATATAGAGAGATAGATATATTTTAGACCCATTCAACAAAAATTATTTTTTCTAAAATATAAGATGAATCTGTTTGCTATATAAGAAAACACACCCACGCATAATGAATTGACAAAGAATTCTATGAATCGAAAAGCATTTAAATTTATTTATGCCACTTGGCTTGGCATGGAGAACACAAAATTCAAGAATTTCCATGGCTTTAAATTCAATTTAAGGAAAAGGCCAAACTGGCTTTGAAATGTGGGAGGGAAGAAGCATATGTGATATGGATCCACTTCTTTTAATAACTTGGATAAGCATGCATCTATATCATTTTTATTAAATTGAGAAATAACAACAATAATATTGCTACATCTTACATATATTTTTACTTCAAGAATATATATATATATATTTAATTTCTATGGGTAGGCTTTGTCTTTTCCACCATCTTTTTTTCAAAGGAACCCATAACCATACACCACAATCCAAATAAAAATCATTCATGTCACAAATAGGCATAGAAATTATCGACATTCCGATAATGCCGTGTTTAATAGTATTATTTGATTTCATCTACCTAAAATATATACTTATTTTTTCAATCCAAGAATATTATATTTACATCATATTCAATCCCCATCTTCAATGAAAAATAGTACTAATAATAAATCCAAAATATCATAGGACTATAAAATCCAACATTACTAGACTATGTTATCTTTGCATTTTCACCATATTTTTGTATCGTTTTCACTAAAAATAAAATTATTTTATATATAATTATTAATTTTAGCAAAGTTAACTAATTAGCATTTAATTACTATCTTTATTACTCTATCTTTCTTATTTTCTTTACTTTCTAATTATAATTTCAAAAATATTTTCAAATATCCTTTTATTTTTATTATTTTTTAATAAAATATTTTTTTTTTTTAACATTGGACACAAATATTCTAAATTTACTCGACAAATGGAGAAATAAATTTTGAGGCTTTTGGAATTCAACACTATTTGCTAAATATTTATAACCCTTTTAACTAATGTCACGCACTAACACATTAAAGAGCTTTCCGTTATGTTTCTTTTCTAGTGTTCAAATGAATGAATAATTCAATAGGGCTAAAGCCCACCAAAGAACAATGAGAATGGATATGGTGGTGGCTGTGGAGGACTAGCTTCCTCAATGGCCGCTACTCCTTCAAAAAATCTCCTACAAGCTCCACCAGCCACCACCACAGCACCACCACTTCCGGTGGCAGAGCCCACCGGCGGCGGCGCTGCCGAGCTAGAAACATTTGCATAAGTAATAAGATTTTCTTGTGGGATCATAGACATACCTGCAGTAGTTCCTCTAATGCAACTCAACCCCTCATCGGATTGTGAATTCGGATCAACATCCAAGTTTCCATTAGGCGACGAAATTGGAGTCGATTCCTCCATTGCATTAGCTCGATATTGGCTGTCCCAATTCTTGATTGGTGTACCTGATGACGAAGAATTAGAGGAATCAGTAGCTATTGTGAGTTTAGTCTTCTTGTCAGTGTTTCCGGATGTTAGAGTTCTGATCCTTTCTTTCTCCAGCATTAGCCATGGCAGAATGCTTGGATCCTCGACAACTTTGCGTAAGAATGTCACCATTTGTTGGGGTCTTCGGTCCGTTTCCTCCAGCCTTTTGTTCATGCTCTCCAGTTCTTGTTCTAAACTCTTCTGCTCTGCTTTCAACTTTGCAATCTCCATCATCAGGGTATGATCACCTTCTTCATCTTCCTGTTTGGTTAGTGATGCCCGGCAGGTATTGATCGGGTGTTTCCTTCTTGATATTTTGGTAAGAAGTTGCATCTGCCCCCGGAGGAAGTGCTCGTTTGCGAACTCCCACTTATCCGGATCAACCTTTCGGAATCCCTGTTGCAAGTTAAAGGTAAATCATCATATAGTGTAATTCTGTAGTGAAACCAGTAATCCACAAAGATGCAGATGCATGCCATCGTTGTATATTAAGCATTTCAGATTTGGAAATACTGGATCAATGACTTCAATAGATGTAGAATAATCTAAAAGGTGAAACTGGCTTTCTTGATTGTTAATGTTTTAAGGATCGAAAATGGAACCTGTAGATGGTTGAAGGACAAGAACTAACATAAAACATTTTGCTAAAAAACAGCATATCTCTGAGGTTTGTTAAGAATCAGTTCAAAAAAGTAAGCAGCAGGAAGCATTCCAATTTCCTTCCTAGGCATTTTCTTTTCCATTACATGAAAAAGAAAACATAGAAATGCTGGTTATTGATTCCGTGTTATAGCTATTAGTTAGACTGAACTCTCTGCAAACAGTTCTTACAGGCTGTGGAGAACAATGATGAACAGAGGCATAGGCGATTGAACTAATACCTTCTGCACATGCACTTTTACTCGCTTAAATTCAAGTATACAGCAGAACACGAATCAATTAACTCTTCATCTTCAGCAAGACAAACAGCTTAAACATAGATTATATTCAAAACAGCAACCAGTCTCTAAAATTAAAAAATAAAAATCATCGCAGCGAATTGTATCCAGTATCCACACAACAAAACAGTCCTACGGAAGCTGTAACTAATGCATATAAGTCAAACAAGTTCTAAGCTCCTCATAATCGTAACACCACCAGAATCGAATCAACTCGAATTGAGCTAAATCAAATCAGAACTCACATAAGTATTTAGCTGCCGCACGAAGCTCGAGAAGTTTTTGTGCTTAAAGTAAACCGGCAAAATCCTCTCCGCAAATTCCAACGGCTCCACAACAACAAAGCTATTGCTCGCCTTCCCCCAGGCGAGGAGCGCATTCGTCGACGGATCATTCACCATTTGGTAAGTCTTCATCACAAACGGCGCTACTACCTCACCGTAGCTGCAGCAGCTATTACCTTCATTCACCGCTCTCACCTCCATTCCATGCACCGCAAATCCGATTTCGCCCCTCTGCATCTCCTCAAACCTCCTCGCCGCCGGAAAAAGGTAGAGACAGGCGAGAGAAACCACAGTAAGAATTTGGCAATTAATGGCGACGGCCAAAGTACAGCGCTACATACGGATTCGGTGAGGGTCAAGTAACTTTTTCGAGAGGATCATGGACTCCAGGACCCGAACAAATCTAAAGCGTTGGCGGTGCTGGATGCGGTGAGGACTCGCTCCAGGAATGAGGTCCGGGACTCCCAATAAATCATACACGTTGAACTTAATTTCACATGGGTCACGAGATGGGCCCCACATGAACCGATTTACTTGTGAAGATATTTTCGGGGAAATTTGGAACGCACGCGCCGGGGGTATTTATTTAATTATAGTAAGTGGTGCCTTTTTAGGAAGGTCGACGTGGCGGATTCTGATTGGAAGACTCGAAAAGTAGTGTCTACTGTTCCCACATAGGTACATTTATTTACACCTGATTATTTGGATGGATCCGAACCGTTGGTTATGTTGGCCCACAGAGAATGAATGGCGGAGATTGATTGTAAATGAACTCTCCTTGGCTCTTGCTTGGTGATGAAGTGACACTTGATGGTACTAGTCATTATATAACAAATAGACATATGACTTGTAAACAAATTCAACTATATAGGTATGTAGTGTATATTTTATGCAATGATAACAGTGTGTGTATATATATATTCATATCTTTGCAATTTTAAAACATTATCTTGTAGTGACACAAATAAATATGGAAAGAAAAGGTGCAGTTTGTTGAGGGGCAGAATTTAGGGACCCCACCATTATTGGAAGTGACAAAGATTAAATAGAAGCAAGGATATGTTCTTAAAATCCCCACTTATTGGAAGATGGACCTTTACTTTGCTTGTCATTTTATATGCTAAATAGAATAAAACTTTTATATATATATATATATGTATATGTATGTATTGATGCTAATACTCTCATTACATGGTTTTGGATTAATGTACGTACCTTATTCATTGCCTGAAGATCCTGTACTAATCCAGCTTAATCAACACGGTGCTGATTTGACTGAGTGAGGATATATTATGCTGGTGATTAGTATATGCTTATACATATTTTAACATATGTTGTGTTATAAAATATTATATGCTAAGTTGTAATATGGTTCATAATAGTATCTTTAAAGATCCAACAATAAAGAGATTCTTGGGCGGTCATCAAGTTAAAAGAATGTTCTAATATCGAATTAGATGGCAAGGTTAGATGCTACAATACCCCCTAGAATAGTGGAAGGATCGGAAGCAGACGAATGAACGCTGTCTGTTTTGTAAAATATCTTAGTATATGTAAGATCATCTCCAATCTGAGTTTCGATAGGTTAACAGCAAAAATAAAAAATAAAGATTTTATTTAATTATTTTATATATAAATAATAAGAAATTAATTATTTTTAGATTCTTTTGGGTTTGTTTGCTTCTATTACAAATATATATATATATATATATACTCCTTCCATTCCAAATCAAATGGCTTATTTGATTTGGGATACTATTTTTAAGGTAAATGAGTTAATAATATTAAATTATGATATTATTTTATTATATTTTTATATGAATAATATTATTGGTAGTTTAAATATATATGATTAAAATAAATTTAGAATGCATATTTAAATATTTTAAATATTATATCTTAATAAAATATATGCAATATAATGTCATTTTATAGAGAATAAAATTTTAAATAATACATAATTAAAATAAAACTAATTTTATAAAAAAAATTAGAAGTTTTTAAATATAAATAAATATATTTGTTAGTTGAAAGATATAGAAATAAATGAGTTTTGAGTAGTCATACGTGATTGTGATTATGTTATATATTATTAAATTAATTAAGTTGATTTATATTTGTTAAGTATAAATATTTTCATTAAATTTTACAAAAAATAAAAACGTTTCAAAAGGACAAAAAAAAAAAAAAAATGAGGCAATTGAAATGAGGAGGAAGAGAGTACTATTTTTTTATAAAATACATTTAATAAAAATTTAAATTTAAATATAATCAAATGAATTTTAACATAAACATTTTAATATTATACATATATTTATAATATTTATTTTATATAAACATATTTTTTATTTTTTATTTTTTATCGAAAGGGCCTCTAAAGGGCCAAAAAAAATTTGGGGCCGACACTGTCTCCCCACAGTTGGTCATTCCAATTTATCGTGTAATTGTGTAGTTATCACTTTCTCATTTGAGAGGACGCTGTAGAATTCCCTTATTAAATTCTATCCGGGGACCCTCTCAATAAATAAATGTATTGTAAATCCTGCAAAACTGGTGATATGTTTAAGTAGAAAGAGGTTTCAACTATGAGGATGATGATGCATCCATTGTCTGGAATGAAACTAAGCTGCCTTTCATCAGCATCAGCAATGGAGAGATCTATTATCAGCAGTACTATCATAGTTCTAAGAGGATTTATTTTTACAAAGGATGGCAATGGATTTGAATAGATCCGAGACATCCAACCTATTTACTTGAAAACGGGTTTAATTATTCGGAGTTTTTGAAGTTCAAATGTAAATTATGTTCCACATTACCTATTTGTTTAAGTAGACTTAAACTATTTGTTTAAGATCGAGTTTAATTATTCAAGTATCGAGTCGGATATTGCATACTCTAATCAGGTTGAAGATGGATCTCAAGTTTCGTGGTAGATCTGACCCAGATCCGACCCAAATTATCGGGTTCGGATCCATTGGGTCTTATCGGGTATAACTCGGGTTAATTGGATCTGATTCGAATTTTAGTCTAATGTTGAACCCAACCCATTTCAATCCCATACATTTATGGCATAAATATTTGCTGTAGTCCCTATTGATTGATCTCCTCAAAGATCATTGAGACTTGGAAGCCCTGTCGATGTAGACGAATACTTCTAATGAATAATGATACCAAATGTAAAAAGGAAGTTTACCATTGGCAAGAGTATCAACTATCCTTTATTCTGCTATAAGTTCTTGACTCCTTTTGACATTTTTTTTATTCATATTCGATTCTTAATTTCCCCAAGATTTTGATGAAAAGGAGTTCTATCTACTTGGTCCCTTCCCCTCAAGGCCTCAACTATATCAATTATTATTAATTCCCTCTTCCCTCTTTATTCCATTTTGCAACTTTTTATTATGCCCTCAAGAGAATGACAGACATATAAGCTTCTTTATAGGTAATTATCATAAGATCATTTAGCAAATCAAACAAGACAACCATAATTTCTTACCAATTTACTTTCATGGACATTCTGATCAAAAAAATTAAGCATCTTGGGAGGGTTGAAGAACGAAAACAAAGGATAGATCCTTTCGGGTTTTCTAACATGTTATCACATAATCTCACCCCTTTTTCTAACATATACTGAAATACTAACATCATTAAAAATCCCGGGGTGCTTGGCAATTACCAGCCACAAGCGTAGCCGTTAATTTTTATTTCTAATGGTTAAGGTTGTGCACCATTGTGTCCCGTAATCATGCACAAACAACATGATTATAGAGACACTGCTTAAATCTGAACTGGTTATAAAACTGAATACTTGAAATATCTTCAAGATATCATATAGAAGCTACAACACATATAGGGAAGTGAAGTTTTACCAATCTAAGCTGATATTTCTTGATGTGTAGAGCCTGTCGATGTACTCGATCACTGGAGTTGAAGCATTGATGTATCTAACCATTTCCCTCTTAGCAGACTCACCTGTAACAAACAATAGCAATAGATACGACGAAATTACCAGAGACAATTCATACATTTTCAAGAATCATCAACAATTAATCCATTTAAAGAAATTGTGATTTCATGGATTTCAGCTTACTGGATTCGTTTAGCTTCAAAAGAAGTTGATCCCTCGTCGGAAGTGCATACATGCCGGCATAAGCTGCAGTCCTCACTGCCCATGTGTGGTATGGTGCACATGTTCTTCCGTATGCTTCTGAGGCTGCTTCCTTCAAACAGCTAACTCTGAAAGATGCGAGAACATGTTTTGAATCATGGAGAATCAGGGGATCAATTGAAGGAAAATCAGTGATTCCTACATACTCCGATGACAGGAAGTTGTGGAATAGAGCTCTGATTAGATCAAGGCCTTGCCTCACTCTTCGTAGATTACGAGTAAGACTTCCCTGCGTCTTCACCGAACCGTTCTGTAGATCACACTCGAGTATGCTGTTGAGCGTTTTGTACCTGTCTGATGCTTCTGCGAGATTACGCACCTGCAACGAATTGAAATGGTATGAACAGGTAATATGCTTCAGAAATTTTGAATCTATGAATATACATAAATGTATATTTGTAGAAACAGATCAGGTTGAATTCAAAAACCCTAGCAATTTGGGGAATTTTTTTTGGACAAAATTGCGACGAACCTTGTGTGAATACTCTAATTCGGCGAATTTGAAAGCGATTCCCAAACAACCGAAAAGAATTGAGACGAGAGAACACGCGTTGCAGAAGGTCTTCAAATCCAGATCGTAACCGTAACCGTTACTCTTCACCACTCTAGAAAGTTCCTCAAACGCGTCCGCAACCGCCGAGAGAGGCCTCAACTCACCCGCCGCCGTCGTCGCTTCCTCCTCCACAGAAATCTCCTTGCTCGTAGAAACTTTGGAAACCACAGAGGAGTCTTCGCTTCTCCTGAAAATCAACAACATGTTTGTTCTCATCCTCCATTGAACCAATCATCATGAAGACTCCTCCACCTCCTGAACCGCGGAAAAGTAATTGTGAAATTCGAATTAGACAGAGAAAAAATTCTTACTTTTCAGCGCAGGATCGTTCTGCTCGGGAAAAAAGCGAGTGGAATTTCATGGCCATGGATTGTCTTCTCGGCGGCGATCGTTGCGGGTTACCGGTTACCCTGCAACCAAATCAAATCGAAGAAAATTCTGGAGGAACCGATTCCTGCAACTACCTGTATCGATATTTATGCATTCAAATAATTCAAGCGGGGGACTTTTCGTGGAAACGTTTGTGGGACATTCGACCGATCGATCAATCGACTCGACGCTTCGTCTTTTATTGCTTTTCGGGCACACGTATTCTCTTCCAGATGTAAACTTCGTTCATATGTGTTTGGTTTATGTTTCGGTGGGAATTGAATAATCATATTTTTTTATTATATATATATATGAATGTAATAATTAAATTTAGGGTGTGTTTGTTCCGAACGATTTCGTCAAAAATTCACATCACTATCCATTCAATAATTTTTTTCCAAAACTTTTACATCAAACACTTATTTTTTATTTTTTATTATTTTAAATATTGATTTTACATTTGCATCAATACCTATTTATATCACATCATATAATTATTTTAATTCAAAAACTTTACTATTAAAATTTCAACTCAAAATTCAAACTTCCAAACAAATACACCCTTACCCTTGGAAGAAAAAAAATCTTAAAATTAGATAATCGCTTTTCTTTTGTTTACGAAATTCTTTTAGAAAATTATTTATTGTAATTTAAAATTAATTTCAAATTAAATATTTATTTAATTTTAATTTAAATAATATTTTGATATAATATTTATAAAATATAATACTCCCTCGATCCCAATAGAATAGTTTTATTTATCATTTTTGTCCGTCCCAAAAGAAAAATATCATTTTCATAAATAATCATATTATTATAAAATTATCCCTACTTTTTTATTATTATTATTATACAATTGCCACTATTTTTCACACTAATATACTAACAAAGGCAAAAAAATAATTTATTTTACTTTTTACCTATTACTACTATAATATTAATATTCTTTAAATATTTTAGAACGAAGAAGTAGAATATATATTTCTAAATTAAAAGTAATGTTTTTTATTTGTAATAAAAACAAAAACAAAAACAAACAAATAAATAAACAAATACTACTCCCTCTCCATCATGGGGCAATTTATAGTTAATATTATTTTTAAAAAATACAATTCAATACTAACATAAAATATTAATATATGAGTGAGTATATTCTATTTATTTATGAAAAAGAAAGTTAATAATTGATATTTTATATTATTGATATATTTTCTTATATTTAAAAAATACATCAAATTAAAAATACTTTAATAACAAGTTCCTACCAAAATAATTATTTAAAAATGAAGTGAGAACTAAATTATTGCTGACTATTACTCCCTCCGTCCACACGCAAAGTAAACAATTACTTTTGGTGCGATCTTTAAGAAATAATAGTATTTTAATTACAGTGGACAGTTAAAAGTAGTATAATGATATTTTTGTCCTTGTTTTTTGGTGTAAAAGTAATGATGTGACGTAATTTAAGAGTATTTGTGGAAAAAAATGAGGTATTTAATAAAATGTTTACTTTATAATTGGACATCCGAAAATAGAAATATATATCCTTTTTTAGTTGGACCGAAAAAGTATTTAATATAATAATAACTTAAAAAGATATTCACTGTGATATGAGAATCAAATGCTCCCTCCATCTTGATTTAAAATATTCATTCGATTTTTGTAATAAATTAAAAAATAGATAATATTTTATTGATTAGTCGATGTAATATAATTTTAACATTTTTCCTTTTCAATATTAGGTACAAACTAATTGTATATATAATACTCTTTCCGTCCCAAACACTCTGCAATATTTTTTTTTAATGTCCCAAACACCTTGCAACATTTCCAAAATAGGAAATAATTAATTATACTTAATATCTATCCCACACTTTATCCTCTCACATCATCCAAATAAAAAAAATAAAATATATATTTCTCTCTCCATCACATCACCTAATTTCTAAATTATCCTACTTAATACTATCCACCTAAAAACCCGTGCCAAAAGTAAATGTTGCACCTTGTTTGGGACTGAGGGAGTAATATATTTGTAATTTAAATAAAAAATAAAGATTATTTTAGTATTAGTACGTGATTATCTTATTATAATTTGTAAAAGATATTTTTTAGTTGAATAAAAGAAAATAGTAAAAAGTATAAGGAGTTGGACTAGAAGGAGTATTTGTTTGTTTTTATGTTTCAGTCATGTTTGAATGTACTAAATTTTGATACATTTGATTACAATTATATTTATTTTTTTTTTTTTTAAATGACATGAGAATCCGCAGCCGTTACAATTATATTTATTTTGCTAACATGTATTATTACTGTATGTTTAATATATTTTTTTACTGTATTGACCAGTGTTAAAATTTACAAATATACCGATGATGGTGATATATGTTCTCACTCCCGAATAAGGCCTCAAATGTAACTCTAATAGTCAACCAAAAATAAAGTGGAAGTTGTTGGTATGTTTCAGATGGATCAATTAGATCCGACCCGACATGATCCATCTTGAATAGTAACCGAGCCAATAAGCTCAGAGTTGAGATTAAAACCTCATCTTAAAAATCAAGTCGGACCTAATCTTTCCCCCTTTTTTAATGATCTTCACTTCTTCGACTCCATTCAAATTTGGTTTTATTTTTTATTCGTTATTCTTGCATTAGGTTGGTTGCTTTCCCTAGATTTAAATTATTTATCCAATCCATTTGTATATATATAGAGAGAAAGGTTGCGAACATGATGCTAATTCAATTAAATCAATATGAGTCTTGACATATATTATATCGTATCATAAATATATTATGATAGTATGTAATATATGTTCGATTATTTTTATCAGCATTATGTTGATTTTGATTGGGTCAGCTCTAACTAGAGCCAGCAATGGATTGACTCGTGTCGGGTTGGAGTTGACTCGTGTTGACCCGTATACATAATTAAGTATGTTAGTTTTTATTGGTTTAAGCGTAAATTAGATTTAATTATTTAAAATTGAATTTAATTTAAATTAATTTATGAAAAATTATTAAATTATAATTATTTTATATGTAATAAATATATTAATCAATATTAATATGTTATAATCAGATTGTCGTATCGGATTCGAGTTGAGAGTCTCAACCTTAACCGGACCCGTTTATTAGGATTCGAGTTGAGAGTCTCAACCTTAACCGGACCCGTTTATTACCGTGTCGAATTCGTGTCAACCCGTATACATAATCGGGTTGAAATCTTTGACCCAAACCCAATTATTTCGTGTCGGGTCAATTTTTGCCAGCTCCCGCGCTCGTATACATACATATATATTATAAACAAAAGTAAGAATAATCAGTCTTGTTTTCCAACTCAACTGCAAATCTCATTTGAAAGTTTGAAATGGCTTTTTACCAAGTCAAATGCAAGCTCAATCGAGCTGAATCTAATTTCATCTATTATATATTCACAGTATGAAGTATTTTTTCCGAGCCAAGATGTGAAGGAACTACTTATCCTTGAGAGTTGTCGTTCAAACCAAAACAGGCATAACTGGAGACAAATAAATCATCAATAATCAGTCCTTACCAAACATAAATCCTAGCTGATTGTTACCCGATCCCATCATCTTTCTATTCTGTCAGCAAATGGCATTTCCACCACAAACCGATTACTCGAGCTTACAGCCAACATTACATGAACTGCAGCACAATCAACCCCTACCTCCTTCGTAAGATTCAGATTGTCATCTTGACCATATGATAGTACGGGGAATTCTTATTAGCCTACAATCCCTATCCCTACTTACGGGACTGCTTTCAATTGGTCTAAAGATAAGGCAAGTTATACGACACATATGTCACTTTACTAATCGAATATCAGAGTAAAGGCTCTAAGCTTAAATGCTCTGAGATAGCAAATACTCTAATATTCCTCAATAGGGAAGAATCCTCGTAATTCATGCCCTAGTTCCAGACTTTCAAATTCTTCGTAGCTCGTTAAAGCACATAATGCTGCACCCAATGATTAGCAAGAAAGGAAGTAGTAAGTCAAGGCAGACGCTGAAATGTGATTTTAAGATGGATAATATAAACATCTAGTTGGATCTTGACATTAAATGGAAGCTAAAAAAAAAGGTAAAGTGCATTCTTAGTGCTATAAAATCCTCTGAAGTGGTGAAAAGGCTCACCATGTCCAAACAAGACAAGTCCAGTAATTAAAGAAGAGCACAGTCCAGGCAAGATAGGAAAGAACATATAATATTGTTCTAGGTTGAAGAAGCCTGAGGGGAAGAATTATCTTGAATTACTTCTTATTGTCCCTCCTCGAACTCGTGACCATGATCCAAGAGGTAGTTTGCTGCCAACTCCTCATTCTTGTTGCAAGCAAAGAACACCTCCAGCACGATAGATCGATCAAATCCCATTGCTTCGAGCTGATGAAGACGGGAGCAATGTCATTGCATGTTTACCATTTCATAATCAACGCTTACATTTATATATACGTATATAGAGGAGTAAAATTGCTTACTCTCTCAATGGCTTCCCGTTCCTCGACTGTAACTGTTAAGGTCTGTGGCATCCCCCCAGCAAGCTGCTCCAGTATGTTGCTGATGCATAGTTTAAACAGACGCAAGAAATTAGCACCCAATGTCTGTGAAAGGTAAATTACCGAAAAATAAAAAAATTAAAAAAAAAACTTTGATACCCTTCTCCTCCTTCAACAGGCTCATTAATGAGGCGAAGGAAATCCTCGTGATGATCCTGAATCATTCTCACCAATTGAGGGTTTTGTTTTCCTAGCTCCACAAGCATCGGCTGGCAACAGATACAAGCATAACACTCAGATCGTCATAATACAAATCATATATATGTGAGTTATATAAGACACGAGTGGCAATTACGATTATGGAAAAATACCTGCAGAATCTGTGGGTTGGCCTGTACCATCGCTCTTAATGCTTGGAACTGAAGCCAGAGGTTTAGAAAATAATTATTATTATTTTTTTCTGTTCAAATCTCATTATGTAGAAAGTAAAAGACAAGAAATAATATGAGAGGATGTGGTGAGGTGTACGCCTAGTCTGATTCATGAACTTTACCTGCGGACTGTTACGGAGGAAATCAAGGGGATTTGCACCACCAGCGTTTGAGCCAGGACTTGGAATCCCCTGGATGGGAACACCATATTTTCATCAGTGCAAGCTCTCTAAGGTGAGAGAAAAATTAAAAATAAGTTAATTGAGTACCTGTGGAAAAAGATCCAGGGGATTTGCATTTGGGCCACTAGAAGGTACAGATGCCGGTTGAGCAGGTTGCTGCGGCTGAGCTGCTGCAGTAGCAGCAGTCCCAGTTGGCACACTTTCAGACGCAGGTGGAGCTTCAGCTGATTCAGGGATGCCCTGAAGTGTATCAAAACGTTAATGGGGTTAGAGGAAATAACTGAAATTAATCACCAATTTATGAGAGTGATTATTGAAGCTCACAGTGTATAGATATTCAACTGCTCTCTCTGGATTGTTGTAAGCAGCGCGAAGGGCACGAACAACAGTGTCTCTATCCCAAGTTCCCCCACCCATATCAAGAATCTGCTGCACCGTTCCCTCAAGGTTGGTACCAGCAACAAGATTAGATGCCGCTTGGTCATAGACACCAGACCTGACGACAAAAAACAACCATCAAGAGAACAATGAGCCCCAAAGCTAATTTTCAGAAAGTAGATTTGTCAAAGTCAATGGATACTCACACATCAGCAGGAGCTGGAGCAGAAGCAGGAGCAGGAGTGGGTGCGGGTGCAGGCACAGGTGCAGGTGCAGCTGCCGCCCTGTAAACCCAAATAAAAGGGAGAAAAAATCATGCGAGTAAAGAAAAATTAATATCTGCATGTGTCATCACGCCCATGCACAGTAAGGGTGTGTTCGTTTGATGGATTTGGATTAAATTCCACTATTCATCCAAAATTTTCCCCCCAAAAACATCAAATCAAACACCTATTTTTCATTTTTTATATTATACTAAAAATCAATTTTACATTCAAAACATCACATCATCAACTATTTATATCACATCATACAACTATTCAAATTCAAAATTTTTACTATTCAAATCCCAACTCAAAATTCAAACCCCCAAACAAACACACCCTAAAGGAAAACATGGGCAAGGAGAAAGAACTAATATGTCATTAAGGCAAGCAGAAACTCACACTGAAGATGCCGGACTTGGCGCAGGTGAGACATTTGTTTGTGGGGCCTATAAGGAGCAACATCATTTAGATACATCTAATAATATTACAACATCATTTAGATACATCTAAACTTAATGTATAATTCACCATCAATAGACATAAACAGTCAACAGAACAAACAACAGGATTGCTCATTATTATATAAAACTTCATATCACACAGAAACCAATCGCATTAAGCCAGACATATACAAGTTATGCAATAGATCAATGATTTGATAGAATGAACAGACATAGTTAGAAGCTAGATACAAAATGGTAACATAATGGAAAAATGAGTAGCAAACCAACATCAGTGTTATCTTACCTTTACAGGAGGTGCACTTGATGTTGTCGAGCTTTCACCTGAAGATCCCTTATTCTGCAAGATACCATGGATAACTTTCTTAATATATATACAGATATAGAAGTAAATGAATAACAGAAAATACATGGTGAAGATGCATAATTTGCCACTAAAGTGACGGATGGATTTCAGCTTCTATGGGTTTATTTTGGCAATGTAAAGTCAATTACTTTAAAATGTCATTTCAACAACCTTCTGGTTGATGTTTTGTATGCTATAACAGTTCAAGATTTCGGAAGGTCAATATCATTCATGTTGAGGAACACTTAAATAATAAATAAATTTAATTAAAACAAGATGCATCTCCATAATCCCATCAATTATCATATTAAGCTTTTAGGGAGACATATATGTATATATGTATTCATATTTAATTAAAGTGCTTTTATAAAGAATTGAAATGAAACATGTCAGATCAGATAAAAAAGCCAATATGCGTAAATGGAATTAAGGTCTATTAAAGAGTTTCGAGAGGAGGGCATTACTGTGTTGAAGGGTACAGTAGATAGAATAGATGGGGAACAAGCTAAATGTATCCCATATTGAAATTTCTCTTAATAATTAAAGTCCAATATTTTTCGATAGTAGGGTTTAAAACAGTGGGGTATGAAAAGGATAAGAAAATAATACTAACTGTTGAGAGTAATTACAATATAAAGGATACAACTTTCATTATCTTTTCACACTTCTCACTACTGTCATTTCTTAAACAATAACACCATCAAACCTATACCCTAAATTCTATAATGCATCAGCCATAAACAATGTTTATTTAAGTTGGAAATATAATTAATTGAACACATAATCCGCAATAAGCAGTACACACCATTATGTACCTTTTCACAAATATCACAGTTATTAGAACATCAATATTTATTGTCTTATTCCATACAAGCGGCTATTCTCAAGGAAATTGAAAATGAAATCATCCGCTCATTGATCATAATGGAAACAATTCTCAAATAGAAATTAGATAAAAGGTATTAAGGTAAGGGATCCAAGAAAAAAAGAATGCAACAAAAGACGAGCAAATTACAAAATATATGAAAAGAAACTAGTTCTAGTCTCATATTACCCATAATTAAGTTATAAATATATAATTATAAGAATGGAAAACATATGAAACTGTTACCTTGGTCATCATCACAACAACAAAGCTATTATCGGCAACTTTATTTTCTTCTAGAGTTGTGCCATCTTTAAGAACTTTTCCTTGATGGATAAGCATCAGTTGAGCAGCAGGATAAATGTCGGTTCCCTGTGTACTCTCGATGGTTTTCTTCACATCTTCAACCTACCAAATTGTAAAAAGAATATATAGATGACAGTTTCCAGAATATCAATTTTGTTTCATCCACAGGAACAGGTGACTCAACTACACTAAATTTTATTCTAATCAAACATTTCACAACTAAGCATGTCCACCACATAATAATCATGCCTCTTTCTTCCAAACCTAAACCATTTTGGACTAACTCTCACATAGTTTTCCTTTACCATTAATAAATGTTTTCAGTTTGATTGAATATGTTCTTGTTTGCGCAGCATCCATCGACAAATTAACATCCAAACGATAGCATTTGTAGACACTAAATAGAAAACAATAACTACAAATAAAATCCTACACTCAAAATTACCAACAATTCTCAATCAAAATCATCCAACAAACTACAGCATAGCAATCTGAAAACCGCCATCGCAGAACAGAATCACAAAAAACAATCCGCACAATTGAATAAACGGCAAACCTATTAAAACGCCAGATATTACAGAGTCATGAGTCAACAAACTCACACTCTTGATCGAACGACGAAATCCCCCAAAATATAAAAACCCGACTGTAACCCGAAATTCACAAATTAAATCAAAAAAAAAAAACGCAGAATAAAAAAATCCAATTCAAAGAAACAAGCACCATCCCCCGCGGATTCGACAGGCAACAAGAATTCCCAATCGAAATTATGCAAACCAACCTTATCTTCGGGCTTCACTTCGATTTGAAAGTGTGTACCCTTAAGAGTCTTCACAGAAATCTTCATTTTTCTGCTTATTCCTCAGCTGAAATCAGCAACCACAATCTTCCCCAAAGATCTTGAAATTGGGATTATCAGCGAGAGAATTTTGAGAAGGCAGAAGAAGGGTACACAGAGCCCGGCGGAGCAAGTAAGGAATTATTCAATTTCCCTTTTCTAAAAATAAAAATATATTATATTTCCTGACGCGCTTTCACCTTCGTGAGAGTAACGCGCCTAATATGATTCGACCGTGAACTCCACGATCAGTAGGGCCAACCTAGAGTTTGGTAGGTGGCTAGAATAGATTTTTTGCTAGAATTTATCGTAAATTGTGGCAGCAGTTAAGCCCGGTATTTGTTCTTTTGGGCCGGCCCAAAATTAAAACTACATATAATTTAAGCCCAATACTTAGAAGCCCAAAACGTAAGCCAAAATTAAAAACCATTGGGCCGAAGAAAGTAATATTAAGCCCAATAGTAAGTTCATTAATTCCCTATGAGAATTATTTTTTCTTCCTCTAAAATTTCTAGTAAATAACTGTGTATTAGTATATAAAATATGAAATTTAAAATTTTCATTAATATTTATTATATTAATTCAAATTTTTTACTATTCTCTTCCTAATCTAAGATACCAAAATAGGAAATTTATTTAAAGATATACTTGTAAACAAATAAATAATACCATTTTGTTTGGGATAGAGGGAATATTAAATATAACCTTTGATTTGTTTTGATTTTGAATTGAAAATAATTTTTTATTTGAATTTTGATTCTAATAATATTTTTATATAATATTTTGTGAATAGATTTGTATGTTTAGTTGGAGAATTTTACTTAATTTTACTATTTTTTTTAACTGTATCAGATTAAATACTTTGTCCCTTTTCAAATGAGTTTATTGAGGTTTTGTAATATATTAAAAAATAATAATATTTTATTAGTCGGTAAAAGTGAAAGGTTTGACATTTTTACATTTTAATTTTATATATAAAATAAATAGTATGTGTAATAATATATTTGTAGTTTAAATAAAAATTTAAGGATATTTTGACACTAGTGTATGACTACCTTTTTAATAAAATAAATAGATATTTTTTAGCGGAACATACAAAAATAGTAAAAAAAATATTTTAAATTAGAACGAAGAGAGTATTTATTTTTTTATTATTATATTAAATAATAATTTTATATTTAAAATATTTCATTAACACGTATTTATATCATTATTCTACTTCCATTTTATTATTTTTACTTAAGAAGTATTTGGTACATAGAAACAAGAGATGTGAAAATGGAAATATCGATATTTCTCTTGTTTGATTGAAATAAAGAATCGAGAGTGATAAATTAATCATTTATCATTCTCTAGTTTTATTTTTCCCCATAGGAATAAAATTGAAAAAATGTAAGTGTGTTTTTTTTCCAATTTAAGTTTTAGAATTAAGTATGTATTTATTTACTTTCTTTTCCTATTATTTATTTTTTGCATTATTTCAATATCATAAAATATTACATCTAAATATTTATTAAAATAAAATATAAAACTAAAAAAAAATAATAATCAAATAAATACAATAATATTTCTCCTATCCAATTATTATTTTATAGTGATTGATTCATTTTGTATCTTTATACATATTGTTTTTAGTATTTCTCAGCTAAAATTTCTTGTTACAAAACAAGAGAATTCATTTTCTCTACTATATTATTATACTATGTCATCCATCTCAGCTAATTTGTCCCCTTTAGTTGGGACACATAGTATTAGATATTATGTAATCAGTAAGGACACATAGTATTAGATATTATGTAATCAGTAAGTAATTAAAAAGTGTATAAGTAAAAATAATTATGATAGAATAAAAATAATTATAGATTAAAATAACTAAATAGTTTAATTAAAATAAACAAATTATAAATTATAATTTTAAAATGTGATTAATATGTATAATTATATTTAGAAAATAATAATAATAATTTATATGAGATAAACAGATAAAAATAATAAACAAATTAAATGGAATAGAAAAAAATAATCATTTATTTATAATTTAATTCTCTATATCAAACTCATCCTTTGACACAATTTATAGCCAATAAAACTTTAGGTTGGATATGTTTGATTTTTGTATTATTAAATTATTTTTAAACTATCAAATTAAATAATTATTTTATATATATTAAAAGATAATTTTAAAACAAATATTATATCAATTATTGTTATTTATATCATTTCAAAAACTATATATTTAAATTTAGATTAAAATTTTAAATTTAAACCAAAATTCAAATACAAACAAGCAGACCATTGGATAATTTTTTAATTTAGTTTTACCCCATCTTTTGTTATGTTTTCCTAAACATTTTTGGAAGAAAATAAAAAATAAAAATGTATATATAAATCCAATTTTAAAATAAAAAATAAAAAATATATATGAATTTGGAGTTTAAATATGATTTCAAACAAAAATTATTAAAAAAATATAATAATTAAGTCAAAATAATTTTAAAAAACACATAAGAGGTATTATTTTGGACGATTTAAAATTATTATTCATTATTTTTTAAAATATACATATAAGTTAAATATTTATTTTTATTTTATATATTACCTAATAATTAATTTTATTTTTAAAATATTGTATCAATAATATTTATTTATATTGAATTATACCCACTATTTCCATTCAATAATATTCTTATTTAAATCTCAACTCCAAACCCCAAACATCACACTCGTGATTTACCGGAAGTTAAAAATATAAATTAAAAACACAAATATATTTCTTTATTCAAGAATATCTCTTTTCTTTTTTTTAATAAAAATGTCTCAATTTAGTTTTCAAATTACCTCTATGTTACACTATTTTATTACATATTTAATCTGTGTACAAAAATCAATTGAAAAATTTATTTTCAAATAAAAAAAATACTAATATATAAAAATCTATGAAAAAAAAAATATACTCTACTTAGCAGGAGAAGGAATTTATTTTCTTTACAAAAAGATCCAATGAATATTTTACTTTAGTTTATTTCTGTATTATAAGATATTTATTTTGAAATCAATATAATCCGTACGATTTCAATTCTAAAGATGTTAGAGAGAATCTACCAACACAAAATTTACCCACATCTATATATATATATATATATATATTTCCAATTGGGCTGTCTACTTCAAATAAAATAAAATAAACAAATAAACTATTAACAGTATTCCTCTTCTAAAGACTGAAAGTATCTGGCTAACATACATACGCACTACGCCGGCAAAGTTTCGGGCCTCGGCCCAACTCCACCGCCCGACCCGAATCCCATATCCGAATGATCAAACAACCCATCTAACGCCACGTATTCGCCGTTACCGCCGTTAGTAACCGTTTCCGTCTCCGTCACCCCAAAACCAAACCCGAAGGAGTCGTAGTCCGGGATCTCCCAGTACTCGCTTCCGAGTCCCGACGAGTCCGACTCAACTCGCTCCAAATCGTTCCTCAACTCACCGCTCGTCGGAGGCAGACCGAGCTCATCGTCGGACGCCTCCAGCAGGTACCCTAGATCCGGCCGAGAATCCGCAGATTCCGTCGCCGGATCCACCGCCTGGACAGAATCTCCGCCGCCACGGGGCGACGGCGATATCTCCTCTTCGAAGCTTTTCAACAACGAGTCGAGATCCTGACTCCCCGTGCAAAACTCCGCCTCGTCGTCCTCCAGCGTTTCCAGAAGATTCTCGCGCAACCGCTTCACCTCCGGCGAGTCGATCCCTAACTCCGACTCCGCCGATTCGTCTCGGCTCCTCTTCCGAGGCTCCACATCCGCCATCGCAATCGCACAACAATAATAACAACAACGAAACAGATCTAGAATCGAGAAATTTCAAAATCAGAGAGGAATAAAGACGCAAATTAGATGCGGATGGAGCGTGGAATGGTAGGGATTTGAAATTTATAGTGGTTGAAATGTGAAAGGAGGTGGAGGGTGGGGTAGGGTGGGGGCATGGGAAAAACATGGGGGCCAAATCACGGACGTCTCGGCAATTGTCGATCCTTTTCGAATGACGTGTCTGCTCATCCGCTGTCTCGTATTCTGTGTATTCTGTATCTTTTGTTTTTTATTTACTATTTTTTTAAAAAAAATTTGTGGAATTAAAAAAAATGGAAAAAAAAAAAGGATTAAATGAAATTGAATAAGAGTTTGGAGTCCGGGTCAGTGGAGTGGTCCCCACCTGACCGCATCATCGTCTATCACGACCCACGGCTGCTGTCGTTTCGTAATTATATATTTTTATTTTTATTTAATTTTAAATTTAGAAAAGTGGAAATTTCAAGTTGGCCCGTGGCCGTCGGCAACGCCGAGACCGGCTGTGACGGAGTTTATTACTCTATTCTTTTATTTTTAATGGTTGGAAGTTAGTATTAGGTTTGATGGTTTATTTTAGTATTTATTACTTTTTGTTATGTTAGGTTTCAATTTAAATATTTCTTCGAAATCTTAAAAGTTTGTTCAAAATTTTCTAGAGTGGATATTTTTAAAAATGTTGGGTTTTTTTAGTATTTTGATTTGAATTTTTTTTTTTTTTGTACGAAATATAGAAAATTGTATTTATAATATAAAAATAATATTTATATTAAATATTAATATTTTATAAAAATAAAATATAAGGTAAACTGTTTTTTTAGTCCCGTGACTGGACCCTTTATCATTTTAGTCTCGTAAGTGGAGTTTGTCGCAAACTAGTCCCATAAATGAAAAATTTTCGTTATTTTAGTCCTTCGGCGCCGGAGACGTCCGCGTGGCTCGCTGGAGGTAACGTGGATTTTTTATTTATTTTATTTTTTTAAAACTTTTTTTTAATTTATTTTTAATTTCATTTGTATTTTTTTAATTTTTTTATTTGGTCCAATTAAAAAAATTAAAAAAAAATAAAATAAATAAATAAAACCACGTGTTCGCCAGGTGTCGCTGATCCGGCGGGACACCTGGCGGACACGGTACCTCCGACGAGCCACGCGGGTATCTCCGGCGCCGGAGGATTAAAATAGCGAAAATTTTTCACTTATAGGACTAGTTTGCGATTTACTCCACTTACGGGACTAAAACGATGAGGGAGTCACTTACTAAACTGAAAAACAGTTTACCCTAAAATATATATATATATTTTTTGGATAAACAAACGGACTATTTTTGTTTGCCAAATATTTTTATTTTATTTTTTCTTCATTTGTTAACATCATTCTATTATTATATTTGATAAAATTAACAAATCAACGATTTTATTATTATTTTTTAATATTTATTTATAATAAATATCACTAATTTATTATATATATTTTTAATTTCTTGGTTTTTCGTGCATGACCGAAATGAACTATTTTTATAATAATATTAATTTACTTTTATACTTTTTTATAAAATTAATAATACTATCTTCGATTCCGGAAAAAATGGTACTCTCTCCGTATCATATCTATATATTCATTCGTTTTTTGCACGGAGTTTTATAAATATTAGGATAAAGTAGAAATAAAGGTAAAAAGACTAAATTAATCATATTAATATTGTATGATAGAAAGGTAATGACATTTGTATTCCCTCCGTCCCAGATACCGTGTCTGCTACACTGTAGACACGGTATTTTAGGAGGGGTGTAATTAGTAGATAATTAAGAATGTATTAGTGAAAATAATTATCCTATAATATAAATAATTATAAATTAAGATTAAGATAACTAATTAGTTTAATTAAAATTTAAAAAATAAAATTTAAAAATATAAAATGAGATTAAAATGTGTAATCATTTTCTAAAAAGGTAAAGTGACATGGTATGTGAGACGGACATAAACGGCAACGTGGACATGGTATCTGGGACGGAGGGAATATATTGTAAATTGAAAGGGTATTTGTAATGTTAGGTAGATAGTACAATTACTAAAAAAAAAATGAAATTGATACTTTGTTATGGGACGAACCAAAATGAAAAAATTGATAAATTATTATGGGACAGAAGGAGTATCATTTATTTTTTATATGTAGATTTTTTTAAATTTTAATATTATATTGATTTTTAGTAAAATAATAAAAATGTCATTATCAGTATTGTGTAATATAAAAGTAATGGTATTTGTATAATATTTTATATATTGTCAGAGTATTTATTATGTTAGGTAAGTAATACAATTATTAAATTAAAAAAATATTTTATTACAGATAAAAATAAAAAATAATATTCTTCTTACTGGAACGAGAAAATATGTAATTTTTGTATTAAAATAAAAAGTGTAAGAAATGTGTGAGATATGCCAATATTGTAAAAAGGATATATAAAAAAAAGTCTATATTCTATAAAAAGAAATACTCACACCCTCTTAAATATAACAATTTTTTTTACTTAGTGCACACTTTCAAGTAGCGACTGCGAATCTCCACGTTATAAAAAAAATATTATCTTGATAAAATTTACTTTTTTATCAAAAAAATAAATATTTTATAAAAACTAAGCGTGGTAATTTGATATTTATAGATAATTATTTTCATTATACTAGAACATTGATATTTTTTTTAGTAGGATAACATAAATTAGTAGAAAAAATTATATATATATATATATAAAAATATATTAGTAACAAGAGGTAGTGTTTGTGTTTTAATTTGATACTTATTTTTATAAAAGTTAATATAGTATAGTATAGTACTCTTTTGTCCGAAATATTGAAATTATTAAAAAAATAATAGTATTTTATTAATTAATGGAAGTATATAAGAATTTTTGATATTTTTATCATTTGATTTTATATATAGAGCATTTGTATATGTAATGATATATTTGTAATTTAAGTAAAAATTAAAATGTATTTTGATTTTAATGTATGATTATTATTTTTTTAAATAGAAAAGTGAATACTATAAAGTAAGTCAAACGAAAATAATAAAAGAATATTTTGAATTTGGACGGAGGGAGTATTCCATTGTCAGTGCAATTATGTCACATTTTTTTGTTTGTTAAACTTATGTTTAATTTATTTATAAGAAATCATTTTATTCAATTATAAATTTATTATACATAATTTAACTAATAATAACTAATTTATCCCTTCCTTTTCTATTATTCATATCACTAATTATTAAATTTTTAATAAATTTTTTATAATATCTCAACTTTACTTTTATCTACTTATTCTTATATTAAAATTTTATTATTTATTAGTTTTCTTTGCAAACAAAATAATAGAAGCATAATTAGCCTGAATAGATGTTCGGGTGTCTTTGTTTGGGGAATTGAATTTTAAATCTACTATTTATTCCATTTTTTCTTCCAAAAAAATCAAATCAAACACTTATTTTTATTTTTTATATTATATTAAAAATTAATTTTAAATTCAAAAAATCACATCAACACCTATTTATATTACATCATACATTTATTCAAATTCAAAATTTTTAGTATTCGAAGCCCAATTATAAATCCAAACCCCCAAACAAACACACCCTTCGATTTTAAAAATATTTTCTGAAAATATAAAAATTTTATAATAGTAAAATTTTAAAAATTGTTAAATGATGCACGGTACATATATGAAAGGAGTCATCCACCTTAAATAAAGTCACAATCAGTTTCAAAATATATTTGAATTTTTTTTTCGAAAGAAAAAAGATATTTTATTGATTTGAGGAAAAATAAAAAATTATTTGCCAGACAGAAATAAAGGAAAAATTCTAAACATCAACATCAATCAACATAAAATTTTATTTTTAATTATTTATATAGAATTGGATAATATAATGAACCACGCTTGACCCTTTTCATTTCCAATGTTAAAATATGTTTGTTCGGTGATGGGATTAGATTTTTACTATTTTTTTTTTTTTTTTATAAAAATATCAAATCAAACACCTATTTTTTATTTTTTATATAATATTAAAAATTAATTTTATATTCAAAACATCACATCAACATCTATTTATATCACATCATACAACTATTCAAATTCAAAATTTTTACTATTCAAATCCCAACTCAAAATCCAAACCTCCAAACAAACACACCCTACTTAAAATGTGTTAGACTGCGATTGGGTATAAGTGTTAAAAATTTTGAAAAATATTAAAAATAGTAAAAATTAAATACTTAGTATTTAATACTTTTTGTAAAAATATATATTTAATGCAGTATTTATTTTTTAAAAAATATCATTAATGAATAATATCAAAAAATAAATGGCAAAATAGCAAAAAATCTCCCTGTGATTTTTCGAATTCGTTGAAAACCGCGATTTTTAAAATTTCAAAAAAATCTACATGTGATTTACAAATTTTAGCGGATTTAAAATGAACAAAAAAAAAAGAATTGAGATTACACAAGAAGAAGAATAAGGAAGAAGAAGATGTCGTAAAAGTAGTCAGTCATCAGAGTATTTTAATAATTTTATATAAAAATATATCAGTGGACAAAAAATCGCATAGCATGCGCATAACATACAACCACCGTTAAATCATAACGGATGAGAGATTTTTTGCAATATTTTGAAAATCACAATGAGATTTTTTGGAGTTTTATAATCACATGGAAATTTTCAGCAAATTCGAAAAATTACATAGATTTTTTTTATTATTTTGCCAAAACAAATAAAAAAAAAACTATGTAAAGCAAAGTTTAAATTTTCATGTAAAAGTAGATAAATAAAAATATTAATTGAACGTTTCAAAAATGTTTTGTACTTGTTTCATTAAAAATATTCGTATTTATATTTCACACTACACAAAGAAACAAAAAAAAAAAAAAATCGATTATATATTATACATATTTATTATTTTTATATTATATACATAATTTTCTACAACATTCATTATTTTTAATATATATTTTAAAAAATATTGATAGTTTATTAAGAAGGATGTGATGAAATATTTAATTTTACACTTTAACGTTGTTA